ACCCACCAAATGCTTCTTTGGAACCCTATACACAGTCACTATGAGTCAGAAACTGACTCAACAGCATTTGACAAGACCAAAAAAAAAAGCAATGGAAATAAATGCGTTTGTCTCCTATAAAAGACTAAATGTCATACATCAGTTCTACATTTATTTTCCAAAACTGTTCACTTTGTAGATATCATTTTAATTATTTAGTTTTCATATTGTTTCCAAGGAGTGCTCTTTCTCATTATGTTTATTAAAATTATTAATATTTATCTTTCTTAATATTAGTTACACTATAATTATAGTCATAAGATTATAACTAACATAATGTATGGTGCTGTAGAATAAGCATTGCACCGCAAACTGCGAGATAGGTGGTTCAAATCCATCAGCTGCTCCTTGGAAAACCTATATAGGGTTGCTATGAGTCGGAACCAACTAGACAGCACTTAACAACAACAATCCATTGCTGATGGGATTGTAAAGATGCCTTGCTTTTCTATAATGCTATGTTGCTGTTGTTAAGTTCCGTAGAGTCAGTTCCGACTCATAGCTACTCTGTATAGGGTTTCCGAGGAATGACTGATGAGCTTGAAGCACTGACCTTGGGTTCAAACCATCCTTGCAGTCTTGTGCTTTAACCCACAGCACCACATTAGGGTTCCTGTCAGTCACCTCTCTCCCTCAGTATTCTTCCCTATGTCCCAACATTCTTAAATGCTCCACAAGGTCTCACAGAACACACAAATGGACTACAAAATGGCTCACAAGCCTGACAAGTCCCAAATCTTTAGTTCTCATGTCAGTATGAAGGAATATCCTCACTCACACCAAATCAGGTTGTTGACTCACAGGCTGCAGAAGCTGGCGAGTCAGGTCAGGCTATAATCTGCTTCAAGTTTCAAGAGTGTGAAGTCAGATGTTACCGAGCCAGACACAGGATCCAGAGCAAGAGCGAGAATGTTTTTCTATATATTGGATGCAGATCACACCCCGAAAAAAAAATCACAGGTGGTGACTTGAGTCACACACTCTAGTAAGGTGGGCCTTCAGGATACATCCCACCTTTATCCTGACTCTTTGACATTACATAGCTCGCTCAAAAATGGGAATATAACCAGACATAGAAGCTAGGATTCATCGTCACCAAATGGAGGAATATAGCTAGAAGGGCCATGATCAACTGCAATGTAGGTGGTTTCTCAAACAGTTAAATATAGTTTTGCCGTGTAGTTGTTAATAAACAAAGTGTATTATATACATGCAGTGGAATATTACTCAACCATAAGGAAAATTGAAGCTCTGATACAACAGCTTGATGAACCTTGAAAACTGTCTGGA